AGATGGGATTAGAGACGTGAACAAATGATTCTAATCCATGGGGCAGTTCTGATCCATGATAAACATTCTGAAAGCTACGGATCTGAGCCCAAGTCCGGTCATCTTTCACAAGCAAATGATTAACCTTCAGCGGTTTGATAATTAGCTGATTTGAGGGATGGATTATTAATTAGATGGTGGTGGTTTCGGTGTTGATGGTGCATTGGTGTATTGGTGCAGTGGTTTAATCGCTATCGCCGGCGTGCTTTGGACCCCGTGGCCCGAGTTTAGAGTCCCGCTACCTCCACTGAACTTTGGTGGTAGACAGCTATGCTGTCGTCCGATTTCGATACCGTGCACTTGTATAACTTTTGCAAGTTTAATATGCTTATCTTTCAGTTAAAAATTGTACACTGGTCGTCAGACCGAAGAAAATATAGCAATAGAAGTTAGATTTATTCAAGTAAAGATTGACCTAATTCATTTATAACTGGTTGTTTCTTGGTCAAGATTCGAGCTCGATATGGTACAGGTGGGTTCTTATACACGGTCATTCGGGAGGGTAGATACCGATAAGAGGAACGAGTGATCGAGTGGGAGAGACAAGAAGATAAGTCAAGATGCAAAGGATGCGCGGGGTTGATTAGAATCTCATTGGCAAAGGTCAAATAAGGCTTCGTTTGACCATTAATAAGCTTTGTGATTAATGACTCGGCAGAAATTGAAGATGCACGGCTTGTTATCCCCAATCCGGATAGTTTTAAAGTCAGTAGACCTGGAAACACTACCGGGGAGCAGTACAGTACAATAGGGAGAACGCAGTGATTAACAAAAGCGTGCGAAATTGTCGGAGCTTCCGAAGCTGAAAGGAGAGGCGCCAAAGTTTTCCCATACAGTTCTGAATGTGTGTATACCATCGAAGATTATTAGCGATAGTAACACCCAGATATTTGGCTGAGGGCACTCTAGACAAAAGGTTACTAGTAAGGGCTACAGAGTCGGACAGGAATGCAGAGTGGGAATAACTAAAAATGCACTCCAAGCACTTGGATGTGTTAAGATTAAGACCAGACTGGTTTGAAAACTGTTCGATTCGGGACAGATTTTCAGTGAAGGAAGAAAACTCCGAAGAAGAAGAAACGGTCCGGCATAAAGCGACATCGTCAGCATATTTTTGGGATGTGAGCAGGGTGTGGAACTGAAAGAGCATTAATGAAAGCAGAGAAAAGATACGGAGAGAGGACAGCACTGTGAAGCACACCAGAATTATTGACTAAACGACTTGAGGTATTCCTGCCTAGCTTTATGCACTGGATTCTTTGGGTGAAACAATCAGAAAGCCACAAAAGCAGCTGTCTCGGGGTGCTGAAAAATTCAAGCTTAAAAAGAATGGATAACCAGGGCACATAATCAGAAGCAGACGAATAATCAAGAAAAAAGCAACAAATATATTTGACCGTGCTGTTCAATGATGTACTTACAAAATGAATCAAAGTATGCACAGTATCCAAAGTGGATCTGTTGGGTTTATAAGCTAACTGAAGAGGATCGTAAGGCATTACGTGGTTTGCTTCTCCAGATCCCGAGGCTTGAGTTAACGATTTCTCATGAACTGAACTATAGGTCTTTGTGACTATGAGGTTTTCTTCGTCTACTGTACATCACACGGAAGTGTGTAATAAAAAACTCTAATATTTATGTATGACACCCATTATCATGAATACGGTTACCTGAAATCCATTGAAATCATCTGATGGTCAGTGTTTTCAAAATGATCTCCTGCCCTGAGTTCCGTTTATTGGCACATGACTGGGACCAATAAATTCATTGACTGTGCCGACTATTGAATGAGATGTTGCAAGGTTTTCGAAAAGTAACCGAATCTAGCATTGATCGTTTCAATTCATACTACTCATTGGTGTCGTGCGCACAGTATCTGATATGAAAGATTTGGCAGCTCCGTTGTTTTCCCTGAACTTCAAGCAGAGATGCGTTACTTTACAACCCTGTGGTGCACTTAGACTTGCTTTCACAAATATCATGTATGGCTTCTGGTTCTATGGTCATTCAACCTGAACATGTTTGTGAGTCTGAGGCTGCCTTTAAACTTTCTTGTCTGTGGCAGGTACACTTGTCAGGTTAAATGTGTACCACACCGGTCGGACTTAACGACGGCAATCGTCCCCCAATCTCCGGAATATGGTGTCAGTCCGTTTGCCAGTAAATGTGTGTCTAACCGTGATGATCCAGGTCTAGGAGATGACGCGTACCATGGAGCGACTCGTTACAGTTCTTAGACGAATGCGATCAATCAAACTTCACGGGTGACATCAACAACGCGCGTACGTGCCATTGCTCCTGGACTACATAGCATATGTAGATTGTACCAGGCAATCAGAGACCGTGCGGCCCAAACAGAAGCAGAACGACACCAGAAATACTGGAACGCGATTGACAGAAGCCCGAATGGCCAATGAGTGTTTTTGTACACATAATGTAATCTCCCTTTCTTCTTCCAATAAACGAACTATCACTGCTGAGGCCTTTTCCTCGCATCTCGATTACGTGGGACATTGCGTGCCAGTGCCAGTGAGGTCCAGTGCTTACGTGATCCAGTTCGTGATTGCGAATCCTTGATTCGTATTCCGTGATCCGTACTGCGTGATTCATATTCCGAGTTCAGTGCGTATTACCGTTACTACTACTGTTATCACAATCACTATACTAACACACATCCATCACCGGGGTTTTCTATCACGCTTTTTCCATAGCACATTTGCATGTGTCAACAAAACGTTCTGACTGTTCACTGGATCACGGGTGCAACAATGGTGACCTTAGGTGTAATGTGGTGTGTAGCCCTGGCTGTGAGTCGCGTACATACATGACTCACTGTACCTTTGATTCATGTAGGCACTCTTAAGGTAGGTTGAAATGATCCTGGGGAAGATCACCTACACACGGGCCATCAATGACCCCCAAGTGATTGTGGACTGATCGTTTCCGGCTTTAGAGATTGATCATGTATCAAATGTTTGCCCGATTGTATCTCGTGGTTAAACAGTAACTAACCATATAAACACAGAAAATTATTGTAATTTACATATTTGAAAAGGGTGGTGGTGGAATAACTCCTCCGTATCAATCAGAAGAGGTACGGATTACGGACCACGAATCCCGGTGGCAGAGTAAGAACACAATAGTACTGGCACTCGTGCACTGTAATCTCCCGTCACCGAGACACAGGAGAAAGGTCACAGAAGTAGCCGTTCCTTTGTGGAAAGAAATCACTGGGTTTGAATAATGTGCAAATAGAAATATTACCGGTCAGACGGCTTCTATTCGAACTGTACGACTGTTGATTGATCGATACTGTTGTTTCATAACCCAATCAATGTTCATAAACTGGAACGCGTAGACGCTTAGCTGGTATCATCTGGGAGGGTTGACTCATCCCACCTTCGTCGAATATGCTCCGACTATGGAACACTGATGAAAGTGTCCTTAAAGTGGAGATTGAATCTGTAGTGTGCTCCGGGGAATTTCGCCTTGACTAGTTATCGTGTACATGTATCCAAAAGGACAGCGGTTTCACCATTCAGCAGAATCGACTAGGCGAAATTTTGTACCAGAATATCCAAACCGATTGCTCCCCAAAAGATTAACGTTGTGCTTATAGTTTTAAGTGTGAAGAGCTCTGCATTTTTTTATATATGCAACCCAGTTCTATTCGTGAAGCGTTTGACCCTGCATGGAGTGGCAATAATCCAACACCTGAAACAACGCGTTGCGTGTGTTGTGCAAGACATTGACTACAAGTTTCAATAATCCAACATTATTTTAACGTCACACATCTGTACAATCAAGTTGACCGCAGAAACCTAAAGCAATGTCGAAATAAACCAACTCATAGATATTGGGCAAACATGGCGAACAATCTATCTATCTATCTGTCTATCTATCTATCTATCTATCTATCTATCTATCTATCTATCTATCTATCTATCTATCTATCTCTCTATTCATTTATCTATCTATCCATTTATCTATCTATCTATATATGTATACAGAAATCTAAGCAAAGATTTTTCTGGGCTTGCGCAGTGAAACCCCAGATTGAATTCCGAAATCTCAATGATATTTCAATTATTCATTCATTGCAGTTGGCACGTGACTGAATCGAAACTTAACAATGTTCAATGATTTCCATATTGAATAGTCAGACGTCGCTTCAACTCCACTTGATAATATAAAGTATTAATACAAATTTTCATAGCTGTCCCTGAAACTTGAGGAAGACAGAACGATTTCCATCTTGCCACCAATCAAGATGACTTGACTCTTAACTACAGCTGACAGAGTGGCATTCATATGAAGATCAGAATACAAGGTGATTTGTAACTACCATTCCGAACTGATTCACTGCCACCGAAGGCCTGTCCACCGTTTGTTTGTCTGTCCTTCAAAATACGGTTTGAAAAATCGATATTTTTGCCAATCCTAGCCTCTCCAGCCGCACACATGCATGTGCACACAAGTACGCACACACACAAACAGACGCATACGCACTCGCATGAGCCAAGGTATGCGGAATGATTGTTCTCTTTCCTTTTGATCTGAACGAAAGCAATAACCGTTATGGAATTTCTTACTCCTTAACCAATCTTTTTACACATCGAGTCTCGACCACGGGTTAAGCAGTTGTTATTAGTTAGAACGACAATAAATCGCAGACACGCACGCACGCACGCACACACACACAACCATGAACATTCGCTCTCTATGAAGCAAAACAGAAGATAAAAGATCGTCTTGAAACCGGAAACCTCATTACCTGGTGTAGATTCCACACGCACGCTTGCTCATTCACTCGCATCGGAATCATCGGGAGATGAAAAAATCAATAATTTCCGGATGTTTTTGTGTTTTGGGTGGAATACTTGTTCAGTTGTGTTACGGATATTTCTATACAATCGGTAGAGTGTATTTATCCAGTCCGTATAGACTACTCCATAGGCAATATGGGCCCGTATATCGTCGATTATGCAAACCATTACAACAAAACCATGAATCCGAATGGGATTGTCTGGTTGACTGCCGTACAAATCACATTCGAGTCTATTGCCATGCCTTTGGGGGCGTGGATGCATCGTAAGTGTCACATTCGCCTGGTAGTTGCACTGGGTTCCCTTATTCACAGGTAAGCCAACTGTCAGTTTGAATGTTTTGAACTATGCCCTTTATCCTTACCATGCGGGATTCAAATGTTCAACCGCAAAAAAATAAATTTCGGAAACTTAATTAATATTCTATGATATCATTATATTCTTTTTTGATTTGACATGACGCAGTATAACAATATCCGATATCGCAAAACTGATCGCAGTTAATTGAAAATATGAAAAAATTGATAAACACGTGGTGAGATACTACTCGTACTATGCAGTAGTAGTATTTTAGTGCGCGCATATTCATCTACTTTGTCTCTCTAAAGGGCTCTAAAATAGGTTAACGCAATGATGAACCGTTTGATCATTAATCTGGTTCCGTTTATTAGGATTCCACTATTCAGTCTAGCATTATCTGTTGCAGTCTTTGTGGCCCAATTTGCTACCTACGCAATACATTCAAACAAAAAATAAATTCCTCAGTTCGGCACGTGAATCGTAAATCCACAACTTTGGCGATAAATCAAAGGTAGTCCCACTCTTTAGAAAACAAGTGGTATACCTGCATCTGTTCAGTGAATAATATCAACAGCTCTATCACAACCCTCTTCATAGATAATCTGACGGTTATCATTCGGTAATTGGAATCCACTGGAAGTATCTTGTCCCATTCGAGCGGATTGTCTGCCCGCGTGTTAACCGATCAATAATGAGCCAAACGTGAATCAACCGAACCCTTCCTCGGATAGTGCTTGGTTTTAGGTGTAGAATACACTCTATTCTTGGGTGGACAAACGTAAAATGATCGGAGCTGTCCGTCTGGACTCGAAGCTCAACTGATAGACGGTACATCAAGGCTTCTAGCGTTTTCATAATTCCATCAGCACTCGATGTCACTTGACTGTCTACTTAACCCAGTTTAAAGTGATGTGTTCAAATGCATTTATAGCATCATTTGCGTTCGACAATTATATGTTTCCAGTCAACTCATCACGCACGGCGATCGATAAGCCAAAAGACAAAAAACACGTAGTAATATAAATGAACATGGATGCGGAATCGGTTTAACAATTGTAAATGAATCGCAGAATCTCACTGATCATCGGTTTCTGAAATTTTCCCACACTCAGATGTTAGTTTACTTAACAAAACCAACCAATTTGAACGATATGTACAGGGAGAACTCATTCGTTGGCTTAATTGTCAACGGCCAATAGTCATTCGTGTTCATTTCCACACAGGACTTCTGTTTAAATCACATGGCCTTGATTGGTCCAGAATGTTGATGTCTGATTTACTGTTACTAAAACTGTAATACGCATTTTACTGACTGGTGCTATACCCAACTATTGCAATTGGAACAAGTGGATATCATTTATGCCGCTCCGGTGACTGCTTCACAAAGATTTCAATGCTCAGAACATAATGAATTTTTTTTCGCACGTAATTTTGTGTGTGAATGCACTAAAGTGTTTAAGGTCTTCGATCTTGAAGAGAATGATTCTCTTTTTTAAGAACGATCAGTCTGACAATGAGGTAAAATGTTGTGTTGGGGTAGTTTAATGTTTCACCGGTAAACAACTAAATCGTTTAACATGATACAATAAACAAAAATGAAAATCATAATATTTTGTTGTATCCATCGGTCTGTAATTCAAAATGACCAACGTGACTCATCTGTATTCGGATTAATCATCGAAAATTGAATTTGAATGATAACAGGTATGAAGCTAACTCCTAAGTAACGCGCTGGTGCTGATGTTATAATTCCATAAGGCGATCCTGGTCAAAGATTTATTGTTTATTGAGAAATTCGGATGAGGTATCACCAATTTGGCATACATAACACNCATCTTGTCAGAAATATATCATCCCAGTTCCTGTCCACACGACGGGTAATGATTGAATGATTGAATCATCCCTGAAGGTCTAAAAAAAACACTGAACAGTGTCCTTAAACTTCTTCAAAATTCATTTTATAACATGCAATTTCTACCGGTCGTATGTGCTCACTACGTGACCGAATTGACTGCTGTAAATGATCTTCACAATTCGATAATAAAATAAAACATTATGCAAAGTATATCGAAATTTCACCATCTCCCAAACATTGTTCATTTGGTTCAGACGGTTTTGACGGATGTGAACCAAACCCTGCTCATCTCAGCACAAGCCTCCAGGATTATGACTCGATTGGAAACATTCACAACCTGACTGATTATTTCTTGTGAGTAACGGAGGCTAGTGCTGAGTTGAGCAGGGTCCGTGGCCCGCAACAAAACTTGCAGAGATGGGTTTTACTATATCGTGTAAATGGAAAATGAAAAACGGTCTGATCAGCTGCCCGGTGGACGAGTGGGTGGCATGCCTGTGTTCTGCCGATGAGGTCCTGGGTTCGATGGTTCAGTTGGGTCGATGAATTCACACTGCTGACGAGACCCAGCAAGGTCGAAACAGCTGTTCAGTGCTTCCTAGCTTGTCAGTTCGCGCTTCATTTGACATATATAACACGAATTTCCATATGTTACCCACTACTCACGAGTGAGTAGCACCTCACAAAACTGGTAAACTAGGCAAATTGGGGTTTGTAAAAATGGGACAGCCCACAAAATTCACCTCGGTATATAGTGTTCACATCACTTCGAATGTTCTGTTTCTGGTTGAACTCAAAACAACAATGTCAGGGGTTTATATTCTTGCAGCAGTCAAATAAAACAATCCTACATAGTATAATTCCACTCTAATTATACCCTGAATAAAAAAGATACAATATGACTAACAGTGTAACACAAACCCCATGCCAAAAACATGAGATTTCCTGGAGTTCATCTGTTGCAATTCAACATAGTTTGTTTCACATCCGTCAAAACCGTCTGAACCAAATGAAGAATTTCTACAATTTAGAACAAAACAATAAGATTTAAAATGACCGGTTCAACATTACCTCTGAAGTGAGTGTGGGGGTGAGGGGTGAGGGGTGAGGGGTGAGGGAGGAGTAAGAGAGCCTTGATCGAACCGAAATGTGCTGGAGATATGATTCATATTTCTACTTGCAAGTTTACACCACCAGTTAGGGTAATTCAGAAGAATTTTTGATAAAGAAATAGGTATTTTATATGCAAACAGAGAGAAAGTGAGTGAATGAGAGAGAGAGCATGCAAGATGTCCAGACATGCCTAATTGCATAAGATGATCAGAATAGAGAAAAATCAGAGTGTGACCAGACTGTTCGAGAAAACCCTTTAGAGAAAGTCAACTGGAAACCGACACGGTTGGTCTCCGATCCCGGAAATCATGACTCAGAACGCGAAATTCATCTCGGATTAAAAGTTAAATGATAATCTCAGTGAAATGGTGTAAGAATTGGGAAATTCGATCCGAAACCTGTATTTTGTGATGCGAGAGCGATGGCCCAGTGCTACCCTGAAACGAGAATGGAAACTCTCTCTCTCATTGGGTGCATTCAAAAGGTGTGTTCTGACTCTGAAGCCCACAGATCGTTCTACGCTATACTGATCTGATTCGTTTATATCTAGCCTCCGGATTTGGTGGGAGACTTCCGAATGCAGTTAACAGGTAGTCAACTGCGCGTCCGTTTGTTACTGTCGGGCCCAAGTAACTCTGACTGACCATTATTGAAAAAAACATCTGAAAAACTATGAATTGATAATTCTGGCCAACCCCGGGAGGAGCTGTTTGGCACAGTGGTAATACACACATCTACACACCTATGTTATAGGTCCAAGTTCAAAGCTAGGCTGGGACGGTGAATACACACTACTGGTGAGCTGTATTAAGAGTGAAACTCGAGTCTGTCATGCTTCCGAGTGGTATGGATGACTGGATGAAATGAGAATTGTGCGTGAAGGTGAAGAGTGATGGATGGTAAGTGAAGCCAACATAACGTATCCCACATCGCTACTCACAAGTAACTGTGAGTTTAATCCGAACTTATTGGGACCCAGCAGTAGTGAGCACAATCCACCATCCACATGTATGTTAGTTATCAATTAGAATCAAAACTGTAACATACCTTACTTCCTATTCTCCACGATGACCAGCCTTCGCAACAGTGCATTTGTGTCCAACAGAACAGGCAAAAAAGAGGTTGAGCTAGATGGAAAATTTATCCTGGCATCACGCTTAGAATCTATCTATGTAGTTTAGAGAACCCTATGACAACGGTTCAGAAACCGTTTGATGAATACCGATTTTGTTTTAGGGAAGCGGTGACCGTGGGCGCTGCATCACAAAGTTCAATATGAAAGATTGATCTTAACAGTTTTTTATCAATGTTTGGGAGATGGTGAAATTTCGATATACTTTGCATAGTGTTTTATTTTATTATCGAATTGTAAAGATCATTTACAGCAATCAATTCGGTAATGTAGTGAACACATACGACCGGTAGAAATGGCATGTTATAAAATGAATTTTGAAGAAGT